CTATAGGGTTGTTATGAGTCAGAATCGGTTTTGAGTGAAGGGATGCATCCCCCAACGTCACTCCTGACTCTTCAGGAATTTTCTAAGGATCTCTGCAACCAAGAGATTCTTTGATGCTATTACCCTTCAGAGAAATGTTTGGCTCAGAGAGATCAAAGGAAGAAAGAAAGGACTACATTTTTAGATTGTTCTCTGGGGCTCCAGAGATGCCCTGTGCTTGGCTCTCTGTTTGCAGCTCTCAGAATCTTGGATTCTGTGATTCTTTTTTCAAAGGCTATTTCCCCCTTCTCTACTAGGGGGATCTTTCCAAAAGGCTCAGGGTGGGGCCTGGTGCAAGTGGGAGGCAGCGGCTGGGCCCAGCTCCTCCTTTGATCATGTTCTCTTCTGGCAGTAGTATCTGAACACTCACTAACCCAGGCCTAGATGATGAAACTCTTCTAACCCAAAGGGCAGACACCCCTCAGATGGAGAGGTAGCAGATACACAAGGGAGATGAGGGAGATGAAAATCGAGGCAGGGCTGGCTAAGCTGACCTAGTTAGAGCAGAAAGAGGCTGTAGGGGTGGCAAGAATGGTAGGGAAAGGCAGGCAGGGAGAGATGGGAGCAACCCTGCAGGAGTCCAGGATAGGGAGTTGCAGAGGGCTGGCTCATTTAAGAAGCCCTGGCAGGACTTGGAGGCCACAGGGGGAGCTGTGGCATGGAGAATCAGGAGCTGGGGTGTGTGTGTGTGTGTGTGTGTGTGCACGTGCGTGCATGCGCGCGGCCACAGAGGGTGTGTGGTGAAGTGCCTGTACCAAATTTTGCCTGAATACTGAAGATTTTAAAGTTGCAACCTTGGAGGAAATGTTACCTGCTATGGAGTCAGCCCTGACTTGTGGCAACCCCGTGCCCAACAGAAGGAAACACTGCCTGGTCTTGCCATCCCCAGGATGGGTTGTGCATTGGTGGACTTTTGTGATCTACAGAGTTTTCATTGGCTGATTTTCAGAATAGATAACCAGGCCTTTCCACCTTGTCCATCTTAGTCCAGAAGCTCTGCTGAAACCTGTTTAGCATCCTAGCAACACTCAAGCCTCCACTGAGATGAGTGGAGGCTGTGTATGAGGTGCATTGGCTAGGAATGGAACCTGGGTCTCCCACATCCCACCCACTAAAACCCACTGCCATCATGTCGATTCTGACTCATAGCAACCCACACTGGGTTTCCAAGGTGGTAAATCTTTATGGAAGTAGATGACCTCATCTTCCTCCCCTGGAGCAGCTGTTGGGTTTGAACCATCAGCTTTCTGGTTAGCAGTAAAATGCCTCAGGCACTGCACCACCAGAAAATAGCTGGACATTAAGAGCCAAGTACAGTTCTCCCCTAAACCCAGTAAGACTAAGCAAAACACACGGTAAGATTCTCCAGCAGTATCATGACCACCACTGGGGATCCAGTTAGCATACTAGGCACTGTCAGGGGGGAGGTATAGGAAGGGAAGACATGGCTCAGTCTGGAAGAGTTTATCAGCCAACAGGGGGACAGATCCTGCTAGAGAGAGTC